TATATCAGTGGTCCTCAATCTTCTTGGTAGAGGAACCTGTTTTGTGGAAGACAATTTTTCTACAGACTTGGAGGTGGGGATATGAAACTTCCACCTCAGATCATCAGGCGTTAGATTCCTCACATGTGCAGTTCACAATAGAATTCATGCTCCTATGAAAATCTAATACCATGGCTGATCTGATGGGAGGCAGAGCTCAGGGGGTAATGCTTGCTTGCCCCTGATCACCTCCTGCTGTACGGCCTGGTTCTTAACAGGCCACAGACAGGTACAAGTCTGTGGCCTGGAGGTTGGAGACCCATGAGTTACATGACTGTGGGCAGCTTTCCCCTTTATAAAATAGATCACTGGACTACAGTAAGGATTAAATAAAATAATGTGCTGAAAATCGCGGGCAGGATGCCTGGCATAGACACTGGTGTCAGTGGTAGTTGTAATTGTGGTTGCTGTCATTATGATTAACTTTAGTGGGCTTGAAATTCCAGAAGTAGTATCCTCATTTTACAGAAGGGGCACCGAGACACTTTCATGTCCTGCACAGGAACACAGGGTAATAGGTAGAAGAACGACTGGAATCTACATCTCCTTCCCTTTACTGTTTCTCCTATAAAGCATACTGTTTCAAGCAGGAACAAACAGGACTCCTCCCACCCACCTTCCTACGCCTCCACTTCTGTACAGCAGGGAGCTAGCTGCAAGAAGCAAATAGAGAAGTAAGGTGCCAGGTAGAGTTGCTTATGCCTGTAGTCCCAGCACTTTGGGAGGCTGAGGCAGGAGGATCACTTGAGACCAGGAGGTTGAGGTTGCAGTGAGCTATGATCATGCTACTGCATTCCAGCTTGGACAAAGGTGAGACCCCCTCCACCTCAAAAAAAAAAAAAAAAAAAAAAAAGCCAGGTGTGGTGGCTCATGCCTGTAATCGCACTTTGAGAGTCCAATGGGGGGCAGATCACCTGAGGTCAGGAGTTCAAAACTAGCCTGGCCAACATGGCGAAGCCCCATCTCTACTAGAAATACAAAAATTAGCTGAGCGTGGTGGCGGGCACCTGTAATCCCAGCTGCATGGGAGGCTGAGGCAGGAGTACCTCTTGAACCCAGGAGGTGAAGGCTGCAGTGAGCCAAGATCGTGGCACCGCACTCCAGCCTGGGTGACACAGTGAGACTCTGTCTCAAAAAACAAACAAAAAAGCATAAAAGAGATTTGGCAAAAAAGACCCCAATCAATCAACAGATTTAATCTGTTCAATGTGAAACACAATCCTAGTGTGTTTTTTTCTTGGGGACATGAGGTGGGGAAAGCTTTGAAAAAGGTCGAAATGCTCAAAATTCCTCTGTTTACATGATCTACCTACTGCTTAGGGACTACAAGAACTTCCCAGAATCCTTTGAGGTACATTCCAATTGTCCCCAAACCCCTGATGTATCCTTTTTCTGCATGAATTTAGCTTTAGGAAAAGAGATTTTTTTTTTTTTTTTTTTTTGAGATGGAATCTCACTCCTGTTGCCCAGGCTGGAGTGCAATGGCATGAGCTTGGCTCACTGCAACCTCCACCTCCTGGGTTCAAGCGATTCTCCTGCCTCAGTCTCCCAAGTAGCTGGGATTACAGGCATGCACCACCACGCCCAGCTAATTTTGCATTTTTAGTAGAGATGAGGTTTCTCCATGTTGGCCAGGCTGGTCTCAAACTCCCAACCTCAGGTGATCCGCCCATCTTGGTCTCCCAAAGAGTTGGGATTACAGGTGTAAGCCACTGAGCCTGGTGAGAATTTTTTTTCAAGAGGGAGAAATTCTCTATTTCTCTGACAAATTCAGCACTTTTATAACCATTATATAAATACCTTGCCATGCAAATACCTTGCCATGAAGCCAACCCAGGCAATGGTGGACCCCAGTTTCCTTTATTCCACCACCCTTGCCCCATCATTTCCCTCTCCTCTTCCTCTTGGTTTTCCTGCCTGAAGCTATAGACTCCTTTTACAGAAAAGAGACTTGGAGATGGAAAACAAGAAAGCACCAGTCCCAAATGCGATTCCCATATGTAATATTCCCATGCTCCACATGGAGCCCATCATTAGGAAACACGAGACACTGGTGATGCACCTCACTGCTCCCAACCTATGTTTCCTCTTCTGCAAAATGGTTATTGCAGTAAGGATTAAATGAGATATACAAGTAAAATTCTTAGTACAATGAGTAGTCCCCAATAAATTATTAATAATAATAAAACAACAGCAACTAAAATTTATAAAGTGCCATGGATTAAGCACTCTGTTAACAGCTTTATACTTATGACATCTCTATGAAGTATTCCAAACATCATAGTCATTTTACAGATGAAGAAACTGAAGCTCTGAAGCACAGAGGTTGGGTAACGTGACCAAGGTCATGAAGCCACTAGGTAGAAAGATGTGATCTAATCAAGCCAGTCTACCTGATTCTTAATTTCCTTCTCTCTCCTAGTCCCTAGGATCTTAAGTGTTTTGTTGCCACCAAAACATCTACATTTGATCTCTACTTCTATCTGAGGACAGGGTGAGAATGAGAATAATTTTTAGCTTAAGTGGATTGGTATCGTTTCCTTCTCTTCGTGCCCACATTAAGTTTGTGTTGCTCTTCTGACTTCCTAAGACTTATTATACTGTTAGGCATTCTAAGCATCAGTGATTAGCAGAAATGAATTCTGCCACAGACTGATGTAAATGTGGAAACTTAAAGGAAGATGAAATAGAGAAAGCATGTAAAGATCGACCACATCAAGAGAGTTCTTGAAGCTTGGGTGAGGTTTTAAGAATCTGAAACAGTTTTTTTCCTAATTCTCTTTTAGAGTCACTTGTACTTGTTTCATCTGTCTACAACCAGGTCCCACACTGTGAAGCATGAGGACAGAGTACAATTCACAGTCTCAAATATGTGTCTTTCCCTCCCTACAAAATGTTTCCTCTGAGGGACATTACTAGATCACAGCTGGTCAAAATACTAAATCTTGATTGTCTGGCTCCTGGCCAAAATCTACAGCTACAACTCAGTGGAGTAAGAATACTTAAAAAGAAAAAAAAAAGACTTTTAAACAACATTTGATCTTCTTCTTTCTCCTCTCCTTGTAGCAATCTATGATCTCATGGCAGTGAGACCTCTACATGAAGGTGTTTAAGTTGGTTTACGGCCACTAGAAATGTTTGAAGCTCCAGGTACTACTCTGCGCCAATATCATGTCAACTGTGTTAAAAAGCAATAATAGTTTCTCACCTTCTTAAAGATTACTGCTTAAATAATGCAGAGCAATGACAGGCCTGCACAGAGTGCCAAAAGCAGGTTGCCAAGGCAAAGCTGAGGTAGAATTACGTCTTTTGGCAGCTAAGAAATTATGACATAAAGTTAGTTTTTTCAAAAAAAACAACCTCCATAAATTAAGCTACTATCCTTTTTCAAAATTCGGCAAAGATTGGGATTTATCCGTCTTCTTTCCCTCTTTCAGATCAAGTAGGAGCTCAGAGCCTCCTTTAGGGAAAGCCAAATTTAACAGCTAGATCTTATCTCCAGGGAGGTAGCTGGGGGTTAATAGTTTTAAGCATGCAGTCTCCAGGCCACAGGCAAGCAATCCAAAGGCCTCTCACCATTACCAGATAAGTGTAAGTGCTTAATCTTTGCCCTGGATGTTAACAAAAACATGAAACAAAATAAAAATAGAAACAATATTGGAGCAACAGCATAGGCGGAAATCTGTGCCAATGGTCACTTTTCCCATGGGCTCCACTTGGAAGGTTTTCCTGCCAAAGTCTGACTAAATAAAAACAGAGTATAAAAAGGTATAACTGAACAAGGCAGCCTTTGGATTTTATTTAAACTGAGTAGTGATGGAAAGATGAATTGGTGAAAGAGAAAGTTCCACAGGCAAAGGACAAAATAAGCAAGCTGAAGAAATCCAGTTCCCCAGGTTTGGTGAGGTGAGGGCTTGGCCATCAGACCTCCCTTGCTCAACGTGGGCCAGTAGACAGAGGATGAGGGGCTGCCTATTGTCCACACCCCATCTGGAGGCCAGCTAGGCCCCAGGCTGAGCTCCGTGGGATCAGGGAATACAGAGTGGTTCTCCAGGGAGACAAAGAGAGGTCCTGGGAGGGGTCAAGTCAACCACTTCATTCATCAGCTTTCACTTTAAGAAATCATCATACAAATTAATGTACTAAAATCACAGTCAGGCAACCAACATTATGAGGACTGTAAAATGGTCTGTAGAAACAGACATAGCCCATCTTGATGTCATTTATATAGGGCTTCAGTAACATCCTACACGAGAACATGTACAGAACAGGAAAGAGATGCCAGGAATGATACCTGGGGACCACTCAGCATGTCTGGACAGCACTTGAGATTTGGGAATAATAAACTGTTTATGCTGGAAACCAGGGAGAAAAAAAAAAACCTACCTTTGCCAGGGAAACCAGAGGAACAGCAATCTCACAGAACCCAGCCCCAGAAGGAACCCAAATGGGAAATTAAAACCCTGGTCAAAGAATGCTCTCAGAATTTAGAAACTAGACTTGGAAGGGAGCTAGAGGATGCCTTAGATTCCCAAGGCCAATGACAGAATCTGTGAGATGAAGTCTTTGAAAGATACTGCTAAGGCTGACCTACCATCATATTTCCAATAAACTCTCACATGAGCCAAACTATGAGGGTTTAGTTGGAAAAATGGATAGCTCTGTCACCATTTTCAGAGATGCTGGAGGTCTTGGGGAGGAGCGCTTGAGTTATAGTTAGCTGCCATTTAATTACTGTTTAGTAAGAGACTGTGACTCTAGAGATGACGTCTTGGTAACCTTATCTTTTGTAGTCCACTATACTCCTAAAGGAGTCAGAGTACACAACTACTTATATTAACAGAACACATTAACAATTTAATTGATTTACCCCCTTATTCAAATACATACCGAGTATTTATTATACACTAGGTGCTGTGCTAGACTCTGGGGCTATAATAATAATTGGAAAAAAGCCATAGTTCATGTTTTCATGGAATTTATTATCTAATGAGGGAGGACAGACAAGTATCACAGATCACAGACATCAATGTCAAACAACCACCTCTAACCCAGGCTATGCAGGAGAGGACATGGGCTCAAAGTGCTTGTAGCAGAGATCTGACCCCGACAGAAAAGGCCAAGATTAGAAGGGCTAGCAGAGTTCTTTACCAGTAAAAATGGGTGGGTGGTGAGAGCATCTTACAGGCTGCAGGAACAGCATTTGCCAAGACCTTTTGTCAAGAAAGATAACAATGTTTGAGGACACAAAAGGTCAATGAGTGAAGAGTTCTATGGTAGACAATAACACTGAGGAGGAAAACGAAATCTAGATCATGCAGACTGAGCTCTGTAGGATCAGGGACTACAGAGTGAGTGAGTGTGTGAGTGTGTGTGTGTGAGTGAGTGTGTGTGTGTGTGTGAGTGAGTGTGTGTGTGTGTGTGTGTGTGTCAGAGGTAGAGAGAGAGACTGATATTTTGGAAAGTACACTCTTGCTGCAGCTGGAGAGAGGACTGGAGGGGCCCAGAGGGATGGCGGGAGGCTGCAGGCTGCACAGTAGTACAGGTGAGAGGTAATGGAGGTGCAGATCAGAATGGAAATGTACAGACACAGACAAATACAAATAGCAGGGGAAACTGGCAGGAGTTGCCAGAGTTGAATGTAAGGGGGAGGAAAAAAAGGAGGAACCAAGGTTTTTTCCTGGCTTCCAGGCTAGTGTAAAAGAATGGAAAGCGGTTCCATTCACAAAAAAAAAGAGTTTATGGTGACTGGGATGGAAGCAAGAAAAACACATGGGCACATAGAATGTGCTGTAAAAATGTACAGGAGGAAATTTCTGATGTCAGAACTTATCTCCACTAAGAATAAAGTGAGAGAAAAAAGGGCCCAAGACTGAGCCTTCAGGAGTTCCAGCTTTTCGTGATGAGGTAGAGGAAGAGGAGCCTCTGAATGAGATAAGAAGGAGCATTCAGAGAGGAATGAAGAAACCAGGAGAAGACTGTAATAACAAGATTCCTTTTCTGGCATCGCCAGCTGCTAAATGATCCCTCGTGTAAAAGACCTTATTCTTAACACTGTTAGAAGAGAGGCTGTCCATGTAATGGTTAAAGCAGGGCTTCTAAAACTCTTCTGCCTGGGCTCAAATCTTAGCTCTCCCACATGATGGTTGTGTTACATTTTAGTGATTTAACCCCTCAGTTCCTCAGTTTCCTCATTTGTAAGGTGGGAGAGGTCCTAATTCACCGGGCTGTGTGAGGATTAAATGCGTTAACTATGTTCAGAGTGCTTTGGAAGAGTGCCTGGTTTGCAGTAATAGTCACTTGATATTAGCTGTAATGATATTACCTAGTATATAATGCTATCCATTAAGAGAAGAATTATCGAATAAACATCATATAAAATGATATTTAAACTCTTCAAAATTAAAACACAGATGGACTTTCCTCAGATGAATCCAGAGGCTAAAACAAAACAAAACAAAACATAGAGAATTATATCTAAATTGAACTTAAACCCAAAGGTCACAGCTGGGTTGGGTGGTTCATGCCTATAGTCCCAGCACTTTGGGAGGCAGAGTGGGAAGATCACTTGAGCCCAGGAGTTCAAGGTTGCAGTGAACTATGATGGCACCTCTGCACTCCAGCCTGAGCAACAGAGTGAGATACTGTCTCAAAACAAACAAGCAAAAAACACACCCGGTGTCCAAGGTCCTCCTGAAGCAGCCAGTGCTCATTTCTAATGCTGCCAACACTTGTCAGCTTTCGATAGGCAAAGATCACATCACTAAACCTTCTTGCAACTTACTACAGTGCACTGGATCCAGAAGGATGCTTATTTATTGATACTTATCAACCTATGCTAAAGTAGGGGTCCCCAACCTTTTTGGCACAAGGGACTGGTTTCATGGAAGGCAGTTTTTCCATGGACCGGGGCAGGTGGCTGTATGAAACCATTCCATCTCAGATCATCAGGCATTAGCTTCTCATAAGGAGCACACTACCTAGATCCCTTACATGTGCACTTCACAATAGGGTTTGTGCTCCTATGAGAATCTAATGCTGCTGCTGATCTGACAGGAGGCAGAGCTCAGGGGTAATGCTAGCTTGCCCTCTGCTCACCTCCTACTATGAGGCCCAGTTCCTAATAGGTCATGGACAGCTACTGGTCCATGCTGGAGGAGGATTGGGGACCCCAGTGTTAAAGAACGCCTACTGAAAAACTGCTTTTTAGTACACATATCTCAGTGACTTTTGTACTAATCCCTCTCCAATTCATTTAAGTATGCCCATCTTCTGAAACCCAATTCGAGTCCTAACTCATCCTTTCATTCATTCATTTTTTTTTTTTTTTTAAGATGAAGTCTCACTCTTTTTGCTCCGGCTTGAGTACAGTGGTGCAATCTTGGCTCACTGCAACCTCTACCTCTCAGGTTCAAGTGATTTTTGTGCCTCAGCCTCCCAAGTAGCTGGGATTACAGGTACGCACTAACATGCCTGGCTAATTGTTGTATTTTTAGTAGAGATGGGGTTTCACCAAGTTGGTCAGGCTGGTCTTGAACTCCTGACCTTCAAGTGATCCACCCGCCTTGGCCTCCCAAAGTGCTGGGATTATAGGTGTGAACTACCATATCCGGCCTCATTTATTCATTCATTTTTTTCCCCTTGAGACGGAGTTTAGCTCTTGTTGCCCATATGTGTGTGTAATGGCACAATCTCGGCTCACTGCAACATCCACTTCCCAGGTTCAAGTGATTCTTCTGCCTCAGCATCCCAAGTAGCCGGAATTACAGGCATGTGCCACCCCAGCTAATTTTCTGTATTTAGTAGAGACAGATTTTCACTATATTAGTCAGGCTGGTCTCACTCCTGACCTCAGGTGATCTACCTGCCTCAGCCTCCCGAAGTGCTGAGCCAATGTACCTGGTCCCATTCATTCTTTAACTCATTTATTTAACGCTTCCATTCTTAATTCCTTCATTTCTTTAACTCTTTCATTAATGCCTTCATTCCTTTAACTCCTTTATTCATCCCTTCTTTAACCATGCCAATCTAAAGTGATCTCTTAGAACTCTGAAGGTAGTACTTGTTATTTTACCATCCAAATGATCCTTAATGTCATCACTTGCATTTCAACACATATTTCATTGCTTGACAGTTTTTGAGGTTCTGGAAATAAAGAGATGTATAAAATAAGGTTCCTATCATTAAGGAGTTCCCACTCTAATAAGACAGAGAGTGAACCAATAACCAGAAGACCACGGTGCTCTGAAATACACTTTGTGTATTACAATGAAGAAGGGAGTCAGTAATCAGCGGGAAGACTTATCAGAGGAGGTGAGATCTGATTGGCACCTTGAAGGATAAGTGGGAGCTAACCAGGCAGAGTGTGTATGTATTGGGGGTAGGGCAGAGCAAGAAATGAAGGGAAGGGCATTTAAGGCAGAATAAAATACAGTATTTGTGTGCAGTTCAACTGTGAAGCCAAGCCTTGTAAACAGCATATGGGAGGAATCTAGTCTTTATTTCTGGAAACCCACTCCTCCACTTTCCAAGATAACTTAGTACAGAGCACACAGATACTCAGTGGATATACTTGTTTTATGTATAAATGAATTTAATTAGTTGTGTGCAAAATGAAAACACTTAGGTGATGTTTTTTGGCAATGTGTTGAGAAAAACAGAACTGCCTCAATATATTGTTATAGTAAGTCTAAATGATGAAATACTATAGCCATTAAACATGATGCTAAAAAGTTTTTAAGGGCATTGATAAAATAGTTAAGATATGACATTATACAAAAAGACTGTAAGGACTGTCCTGTCCAATATGACTACTAGAAACTTGCCACTGAACTTGAAATGTGGTTAGTCTGACTTGAGATGTGCTGTAAGTGTAAACTGGATTCAGAAGGCTTAGTATGAAAAAAGAGAACGCAAAATATTTTATTAATAATCTTTAAAATGTTCGTGACATGTCTACAAGATATTTTGGATATATAACTTGGATTTTATCTGAATTAAATAAAATATACTATTTAAATTAGCTTACCTGTTTCTTTTTACCTTTTTAAAAATTGACTGTCAGAATATTTAAATGCATATGTATGGCTCATACTCTATTTCTATTGAAAGGTGTTGGTACAGATGGCAAGATCTGAATTAGAAAAGAAATACAAAGAAAACTGACTAACACAGCAGTGATTTTTTTTGTGCCTGAATTATGGGGCTATTGTTTCCCTTCTGTGTATTTTTTAAACTTTCAAATTTTATTCATTGGGCACATACTACTTTATAATCAAAAGGCGTAAACAGAAATACAGAAGACCCAAGTAAAAACGAGTACAGAGATCTCAATTTGGTTCAGAGACTTGGTTGCTGGAAGAGGGGAGAGGTGGCGTGGGGGACCCAGGTGCCTTTCAGTCGTCAGTAGAAGGTTAGTGCACAAAGGATGTTGGCCAGCTGTTCTCTTCATCCTGACTGGAGGCAGAAAAACGTGGAAATGGGTGTTAACCGCAGGAGGGGTCTGTAAGTTAAATATAGGGAAGAATTTCCTGAAGTGAGGGTGTTTAAACTCTGGAATGAGTTATGGAAGAAGCCTGGTCCCCAAAGGTCTTTTAAAATACTACAGATACCCACATGCCTTGTGTGTTCCTGTCTAGAGGCAAGGAGATGACTTGTCAAGGTTCCTTCTGAAACAGCTATCTTAGAGTAAATAACTCCAATAAAGTTTTCTTTTTCATTTATTTTTGACTAGGCTTAACTTTTCCTGTTAGGGGTGCTGGCCTGCAAGAAATGCTCTCAAAGGAAGCCTTTCTGATAGAGCTACCTTAAGTAGGACTCTTGAGACTTCAAAGACAATGTTATTTGATCTAAATTTAAAAACCAACGTCAGCTAGACAACATGTTTTTCACTTCCCTAGAGGGTCATCTGCCAGATTTGTTCTGAATTCAGCATAAGGATGAGGGAAGGAAGGGAAGAGGGTAGATCTGTTTCTAAAAAGCGAGGCTTCGTAAAGATTTAAATACTGGATACTGCCTCATTTTCAAGGTAAGTGGTTTGGCGTAAAAGCAGAACTACCATATCATTACTTGATTTTAAGGAAAGTAGACTGGCTCACTTATTCTAGATTTTCATTACTCTCAGTTTACTGAAAAAAAATTTTCCTAAAATATGTCAAAGTTCTTAGGTATTTTCTTCTTCTAATACTTTTATTTAAAGCTATAGCTTGATTCTACTTACCAAAAGGAATAGAAGACTACATTAGAAATAGATCAGCAGAAAAAAATCAAACACCGCATGTTTTCACTCACAGGCGGTGTTGAACAACGAGAACACATGGACACAGGGAGGGGAGCATCACACATTGGGGTCTGTTGGTGGGGACTAGGGGAGGGACAGCGGGGAGGGACAGCGGGGACTAGGGGAGGGAGAGTTGGGGAGGGATAACATGGGGAGAAATGCCAGATATAGGTGATGGGGACAGAGGCAGCAAACCACATTGCCATGTATGTACCTATGCAATAATCCTGCATGTTCTGCACATGTACCCCAGAACCTAAATGCAATAAAATACATAAAGGAAGAAAGAAAGAAAGGAAGAAAGAAGAAAGAAAGAAAGAAAGAAAGAAAGAAAGAAAGAAAGAAAGAAAGAAAGAAAGAAAGAAAGAAAGAAAGAAAGAGGTCAGGAGAAGCACTATCTGGAGATTTTACCACTAAAGTGAGATGGGCTCACATAAAGCCACGAGTTGCTTCTCCCAACATTAAACACTGGTGTTTGTTAAACATTACAGTACTTCGGAGAAATATTCTAGCATGCTTTTGACCAAGGATACTTCTCAGTGTTCTGTCCTCTTATTAAGGTCACTGAGATTGATTCTGTCTCTTTAAACATAGCTTGCCTGGCCCTAAAACAAAATAAGTCAGCCCAACATTGCCCTCCATCACTGCGGCAGACCACACACTAAAGTCAGGCTTCAGTTTGTAAGTCCCAAACCACAGCGAGAGTGAACAATGTATAGGAATATTTTTGCAAGTCATGTCCTTCAAAATATTTGAAGTGTCTTATCTAATAATCCAGATTGTAAACTAAACAACTGTCAACTAAGCAAGGGCAGGGAAAATCTTACACTTTTGAATCTTCTGTTGTCTTCTGAATAATCTATATGCAGAAGAGACACTTAATGAATTGTCAAATGCAAAAATAATATTTAATAATACTTTCCACAGTTCATTTTAGTTTATAAACCACTTTGACGGACATTATCTCATTTGGCCTACAAATACTATGCTTGGAAATATTCCCCAATAACTGGTGGTATTAACCCCATTTTAAAAAACTGATACTCAGAAACAACTTATGAAATTAAGTGATCGAAGTGAAACTGGAACCTCTATTTTCTGATTCCCAAATCTAGCAGTTGTTCTTCTGTATCACATTGTCATGCATGAAGGTATTACAGAGTTTAAGCTTTATAATCAGGAAAAATTAAACTTAGGATAAAAAAATTCTATGAAAAAAACCAGAAAGTTGGCTTTGAAATCTTGCTTTTATCTTCTTTTTCTTCTTTTTTCTTATTCGGAGAAAAGAACATGCCATTTCCAGGAGAAAAGAACATGCCATAGCGTTCCACAAATGCTATGGGCAAATGCGCTTTAGGCCACTACCCAACCCATACACTTCCTTCTTCCGTGTTCCTGTTTCTTAACCAATGAAGATGAAATATGATCATTTTTGTTTCTTTCAGTCTTGAAGTTCTTAAATTCTTCCCAAAGTTTTATGACTTTTAGTTTCCTCCCTCTCTGAGGTAAATGGGGTAGAATAAACAACAGGGAATGTTTCCACCAGGCCTGCTGCCTAATTTTGCAGTGTATCTTTCCAGTGCTCTGGATTTGACTCTGGAGGGTTTCCCCGAGGAAGGCAGGAGGCACTACCTATAGAGGTGGCACAGAGACAGGAGAGCAGGGGATGGGCGGAGAAGGAACAGAATGGCCATTACCCAAGAAAAGGCACTGTGATATGGTAAAAAGAACATGGGATTAGGAGTCAGAGACTCTGGGTTTCTGGTCCCACTTCCATCACTTGTACCATGTAATCCTGACAAGTTGCTTGGCACTCTGAGTCTCAGTTTTTTGGTTTGTAAAATAGTGGCCATTATTCTTGCCCAGCTACCCTTACAGGGTTCTTGCAAGCTTAAGTAAAAACATAGAAAGTTTTGCAAGTAAGAGATTTTGTTATTCGTAACTTCTAACTATGGGTGAGTTACCTAAGAAGGCAGGTACCAAAAAAAAGTTTGTAGACAAACAGATTTGTAGGGTACTTATCTCTAAGGCCTCAGAGTGGTCTTATAAAGGACATGGGGAAAGTGAGAGAGATGTAGACAGATGGTAAATATTCTGCACCATTAACATACAAGAGAGCAGGAGCCAAAATATGAACAAGAACCATATTCTATACCTATCTGTAAGATGACTACAGCTTCCAAGTAAAAACACCTACAGCAAAGGATGAATTTGATTTAAAAATATACAGATAGTAACTATGATTCATTTATTTATTATAAAAGCTACTGCTTATCAAGTATCACTCAGTGCCAGGCAGTATGCTAGGGACTTACATATTTAATTCTTATGACCACACTATTAGGTAGGCACATTATCCTCATTTTATAGGTAAAGGGATTGAGGCAGCCAGCTTACACGTGTTTGAGGTCAGAGACAGGAAATGGTGGTGTTGGTAATTAATTTCATAGTCCCTGTCTTTCCACCTAATTGGGCCACTGTTTCTTAACCTACTCTGTCCTATATATACCCCAATCCTCATGTGGCCAAATTCTTCTTTTGCTCCAGGTCCACTCTCCACTGAAATGTCATCCCCTTAGTGAAGGCTTGTCTACACCCCTCACACCAGGAACTAAAGGGCTTCCTCTGAATGTTAAAAATAACTCATCTATCTTTCTTATAGCCTGTTGTACTTTCTACTTTTTAGTACATGTTGTTTGTTCCCATTTCACTGCCTTGATTAGACTGTCAGCTCCTGAACACAAGCTCAAGGAGCATATTCCATGAGTAGAACAGCTCAGATGGTCTCTTCATTCCCTTCTCTAGTGCTTCCGTAATGCCAGGCTGGGACCACAGAGATGAGTAAGACATGGTCCCCAGACTCAAGCTGCTTAAAAGCCTAATGGGTAAGCTCGCCAGAGAAGTGGATCTAAGCTACTGAGGGAATATATACTTATCTCTGTATCTGCCATTGTGTTGGGTGAGTGAATGAATGAGGTAGTATATGAGCTGGATCTTGAAGTGAGAGCGACATGTGGATAGGGCAGAGGAAGGGGCAGGCTATTCTGGGTAGTGGGAACTTGCCTAAGTAAAGAACGGAGGTCACAAATGCGAGTGCTATGCTTGGGGGTCAGTTGAGAAAGAGTGGGAGAGTGGTGGAGAGACAAAATCGAGGCCCTGTCTCAGGACCTGGATGCTGAGGCCCCATCACGCAGCCCATTCACAGCAACCTCAGCACATAATCTCTTTCAGTTCTAAACTTATCGTCTTACAGGCAGCCAACAGGCAGCAGCTTGTGTGCATATTCTTCCCTGACCATAATGCAGCACCACATCGGCGGTGCATGTGCATGTCAATCTGAGTCTCGGATCACTTTGCAGGCAATAATAAAAGAAAAATGGGATGCTTAAATGACATTCTGGTGACTTTTAATCAAAATATTCAAGAGCACAGATTCTAAGCTGAAATTCTGCTTTTCAAATTGTGTTGCTTGGCAGTTATGACTAGGTCATAATCTTAGGATGAAAAAATGGGCACTCCTTTTGGAAAGACCTGGCATAAATCACTGAGAGCCGTGGCCCGTGCAACTGTGTTCATAAAAAAATGGGGGTTCCTTTTAGGATTAATCAGGCCAGTCATTCTGATATTAGCTAAGAACGTCTCATAATGTGGAAGAAAACGAATTATTTCATTAAAAGGAATTTTATCACAGCCTTTTCTTTACAAAATAAAACAAAACAAGCTGTCACATAACTTTGAAGCTTACCATAAGGAGGAATTCAGTGAATGCACTGATCCTCAGCTAGTATGAAATCCTCAACACCAAAAGAACACACAGCAATCTGCTTCCACAGGGACCCATCTGTGAATGGTAACAACCACACAGAAAATGGACGTGTTCTGCTTTACAAAAGATGTAAGAGCCTCCCTTAGGAACCTGAGTTTTTTTACCCTTTGCCCTAAGGAATGCGGGCTTGAGATATAAGTCCTCAGTCCACGGTTGCTCTCGGAAATTCTCAGATTTCCTCTGAGACTCGAAGTGCTTGTTCCGGCTTTGTTTAGCTTTGTGACTTCCAGCCTGGCTTCCTGCCATGGTCTCTACTTGGAACCGGTAGGTAGCATTCGTTTTGCAGTGCTGTGCATCTACTTTAGCAGCCTGTTTTTCATTCCAGTACCATAAAGTGGTACATTCCTGTTCACTCAGTGTTAATGTGCTTGGCACAGCTGGCACAGAGGGGCACTACATTTATAAATGCATGAGCTTGGAGCTTAATGGGTTTGCTACATCAGTGCCAGGAGACCTAAATTCTAGTTTTATTGCTACAGGTTCATGGGTCAACTATGCCTGGAAAGTCAATTAACTTCTCTATACCTTCGAACTGAGAGTTGCTGGAAATGACAGTGTTTTAGGAGGAGAAGGGCAGTCAGGTTGTGATGAGGAAGTATTTCTATGAAATAATTTGAGTAAATTGTCTACAGAGATCTCAGAAGAAAGGGACCTAATCTCTAAGGTTCCAGTAATTTGTTGTGATTTGTTTCTCATTCCAAATGTCTTTTCACTTCTAATTTTGTTTGTAATTTTGTATTCTTTTTCTTAAAAAGGATTGCCAAAGAACCACAAAGTCCAGATTCTCCTCTTTCTTAAAATGAATTTGCATTTCAGCCAAGGTGTCTATTCATTGCCAATAAAGCTGCTGTGTTCACAAAGCCGCTTTTCTTAAACTATTCCCTCTTTGAGGCGATGAGGTGAGGACGGTGGTAGGAAGGAAGGAAGAGACAGAGCGCATTCTACACAGAGGAATAGTGAGCACGACCACTCAGTCAGGAAAGAGCTTATTCACATAAGCACACAGAGGCCAGTACAGTGACAGGACGTGAGAGTGGAGAGGGAGTGGTATCAGATGAGGCAGAGGCTAAGTAGACTGGAAAAAACCTTGGATTTTACTCTCGCCACTGAAGCTGGAGAGTGGTTAAGAGAGAGGCAGGACAAGAGTGAAATCAGGGAGACAACTGCGCTGGTGCAGCTGTTTGGGTAAGAAAGGTGGTGGCTTGGACCGGAGTGGCAACAGCAGAGATGGGAGGTGAACAGATTGCTACGAATTTTGCAGGTAGTGATGACAGGGCTTGCTGATGGGTAAGATTAGCTCTGATAGGAGGGAAGAAAAGAAGGGGATCAAGGATGATTCCTTGGTTTGAGCACCTGGGTAGACAGGGTCCCATTAGCTGAGAGGAATTTTGCTGTTGAAAAGAGTGTTTTAGACTATGTTGAGGCTGAGATGCTTGTCATACTCCCAGGGGCAGAGTCAAGTAAGAGTCTGGCTGTCTAGAGTGTGCAGGAGAGGTTTACACTGCAAACAAAACTTTGGGAGTCACAAGCATATAGATGGTTTTCAAAACGATGGGAATGGGTGAGAACACAGAAGAAGAGAGTAGAGAGGAGGTGGAGGAGGAGAGAAAAAAAGAGAAGATAGTAGAGAGAGAAAAAGGGAAGAGGGCCTAAGGTGGGACCATGGAGAAGCCAGAAACAGGAAAGCCAGGAAAGGGCAGTCCTGTGGAAGCCAATGAGAAAGAGTGTCTCAGAAGGCAGGAAGGGCCAGCAAGGCCAGGCGCCACTGAGATGCTCAACAGGACAAGGACAAAAAGTGACCTTTGGGTTTGGGTCTATGTTTGGAATTTAGTAGGCATCAAGCTGGATAAAAGGAATTTCAGTATACTCGTAGAACTAAAAATCAGACTGGAGTGAGTTAATGAGGAATTGGAAACATAGAACAGCAATAGACCAGAAAGCATTATAGAAATTAAATCAGTTGTTAGAAATCTATACTCTTTCCAGCAATAAACAAAAAACACAGTTTTTATCTAGGTTCCACTCTCCCCAGCAACAAACAGAAAAACACTATTTTTTTTACCTAGGTTCCTTTAAGACAGAGATACTTCCTCCTATTTTATATAAACTGTTCTGGAGAATGGAAAAGAAGATAAAGATTCTCAATTTACTTGATGAGGCTGTTATGACCTCATCATGTTTGGTCATGTTCTAACCAAAATCAGACACGGATTTTATGTGAAAGAAAAACTGTAGGCCAGTCTCATTTCAGTTTGCAGATGGGGACATTCTAAAAAATTAGCCAAGGAATCTAATAATGTAGGAAAAACTACCACATCAATGACCAGGATTTAACATTAGAAAAATGTAGTGTTATCTCAATAGATTCAAAACAAACATTTGATAAAATTCAAAATATACACATTCATGATTATAAACAACTCTTAGTAAGCTGAGAATAGAAAACTTCTTCCTTTCGCTAATGCAGGATATCGACCCAAATCTATAATAAGTGGAATACTTAATGATGAAAAATTAGAAGTATTCTCTTTGAAGTCAGAAAAAAGACAAGGATATCCACTGTCACTGCTCCTGTTCTGTAATAAAACAAAGACAAGAAAAGGTAACAAAATTATAAAAATAGAAACAATACCATTATTCACTAAAAATATGATTATATACGCAAAAAATCCAAGGGAATCAAAACAAACCATTGTAATTAATGTTAGAAAGGCTGCCGGAACACACTCTCAAAATACTAAAAATCAGTGATATTCCTGTATACCAGCCACAAAAAATTAACTATCATAATAAAAAAATTTATAACAGTAACCAAAACTGCAAGCTAATAAGACTAAGTATAAGTGATGCATAGACCTTTATGTAAAAAATCATAAACTTCACGGAGGTATGTTTTAAAAAAGCAAGCGATATAATACGTTCATAGTTAGGAAGACCCAATGCCATAAAGCTGTGACATCACTCAAAGACTCACAAGTCAAGAAAAGCCAAGAGTTTTGAAGAGCAACCTTACACAGGATTTTCTCTACCAGATTTTCAAGAAAGTTGGAGGTATTTTCCTTTTCCCTTCCTATGAAGGAACATGGCTTAGGAGTTAACATCCTTGGCTCTTTCTATCCTCTCACTCTCTCAGAGGAGGATAAACCTTTCTGATTGGTGAATTTAGAGGGCAAAATAGCATCTGGGTATTCTTGGCTCAGCCCTATCTGGGCTCCTGCAGAAAAGTCTCAGGTCAGTCTCTGACAATGTAGTATAAAGGGCCTGCCTTTGTGGGGAAAACCCATGGCTCTCTAGTCACATTGTGATTATGAGGATAAGTTTAATTTTGAGTGACACTTTGCAAGCCCGTTTTATTACAGATCTAAAGCCCCATTTTCTGAGCTGCGTTATCAGTAGTAAAATGAACATTTTGATTTTCAGTTCATCCTCAAATCTCAACAAGACTTTTAGAAATTACATCTTACAATAATTAAAAATGATACTAAGTGATGAATAGTCAAATAAAGCAACAGAACAGAATAGGGAGTCTGGAAATGGATCTATGTGGATAAGCAAACTTGGTTTACAAAAGAGACGCCATTATCATCAGTGGAGAAAAGACAGACACTTCAATAAATGGTACAGCGACAGTCTGCTATCTGTACTGAGCAAGATTCATTCAGGGTGATTAATTAGTGTTGTAGGTTGCCACTTTTCTCATCATTTTAGGTTATTTGCCATTGTATTAGAAAACCTCTCCATGAATTCTACGCCTTGTTTCCAACTGGATCACAGTCTCTTGGGGACAGAGCTTGAACCTTCTTATTTCTCTCCAGAGAGCCTATCACAGAGCTTTACAGAGAGACAACACTAAATAGATGCCTGCTAGCTCACTTTTATTATTCTTATGACTTTACATTAAAACTTAATTCCTCTCTCATATTCCTGAAGGCAGCCAGGTGCATATCCACACCAAGCTTTAAAAATTATTTTGATGCTTTGAATGGAATTCTTTAAACAGTTGTGTATCTGCTTAACAGGAGTGCTATCTAAGACCAGACATCTGGAGCTTGCCATTTTGAAAAGCATATGGGACAAAAATACAAAACATCAAAGTGAAGACCAACCACAGATTTTTTACTTTTCTGAAGCCACAGCAGAGTAAATCAAATTTCAGAGAGGCAGAATTTCAGATCCACACAGCAGATGATGATAAAAATACCTGGAATCAGAAGCCAGTGCTGCCCCAGCTGTCTAATGTCTAACTCTACAGGCATGATTTTGTAAGTTACAGCCCACTACCCAAGGACTCAAACTTCAATAATTACTAAATGGATACAGCCAACAGCTTTTCATTTAAGTCAAGTGAATGAATCTAATGTCTTCTTTGTATCAGACTTCCCTTCTCCCCTTCTCTTTTTAAAAGGCCCACGTCTATCCTGATGGAGCACTCTCAGCAGCAGCTTGCCCTCACGGTTAAACAGGTACTGACACCAAATACAAGGAACATTTCAGAATGTACCTCCTGGTCTCAAACTAAGTCCTGACTCCCCAATCTATTCCTTATTTGCTTTCTTCCCTTCATGCTCACAGCCATGGATCCTGATGCTCATTCTATCAACAGGCCCTTCGCTTGTTCTCTGGAAAGCTCTGAGGGGCTCTGGGTCTCCCTTATCATGAATCATATAGGCCGTCTTCAGTTTCTCTCTCCAGCAATGCCCTCAAGGGCTCCTTGCTCAGCCAACTTCCCAAAATTCAAGCAACACCCCCTCGACCCCTCCTCCTGCCAAGGGGGCTTCATCCTCCTTAGCCAGACAGGAGCTTAGATCTACCCAAGTGTGACGGCGCCTTTCGTTTTCCTCAGATATCTCATTCCAGAAGAAAACTCCGAGGCAGGTGTGGAGCAATGTGGAAGTCAGAAGAGATTTTCAGCATCATTATCCACATGACAGTTCCTGGTTATCAGAGAGAGAGGTACTTACCACCTGACCATGAGTCCATGTTCCATGAAGTTTTTCAGGTTGGGAAGGGTTTGCCGCAAGTCTGGAGTCCCTAGTCCGTGCTGATATCTTAGCTGTGAAGGTGAAAAAACAGAATTAAAGATCTTTTGCAGATTGTAAGCTTCGGAAAAATGAACCACTAAACGAGAGGAAACGTAAATGTATGATACTATTATCAGCCTCACAGTATCCACTTACTGGTGTTTGGCGTATGGCCTGTGTATGAATATGCACACTCACTTAAATTACGATGGCATTTATTGCAGCCTCGTCATCACTGTTCTCTTGCCCCCTAAACTTAGAGAAGACTAACAGTGACCAACTGTGGAGTTAGGATATTTCAAAGACCCCTGTATCCAGGCTTCTTTCCTACTCTCAGACCCCTGCTAGGGTTTGCTAACTAACACCAACTCCAAGGACATATAACAGAAAACCAGTGTTTCTTTTTAGATACTGCCAGCCTCCCTTTTTTCACCAGCCCTTTCCTTTGTATAAACAAGGGTAAGGACCATCCCGTATTCATCTCTGATTCCAACAGTGTCTGGCATAGTGCTAGTACTTAGTCAACGCTCATTAAACAAATAAACTGCAAGTCACTTTTGACAGAGGCTGTGTTCTGCATCTCTCTTGAGTCTCTAATGTTCCTCTCTGTCCAGACCACAGCACATAGCTTCAGAGGTGGTACAGAGAAACTTCTGGCTTGTGGGCTAGAACTGTCCTTTGTTTGACATATTTCTGCTAGAGGTCAATTTTCTAAAATTAAGTATCTTTCTTCGTACTGGATAACTTGCTAATGGTTTTTATCTGTCTGCCCTTCACTTCCTTTCACTGTGTTTCTGAGTATCTCCATTTGCTTCCCTAACTGACCATAACGGAGATTGTGGATGTGCATATTCACACACATGCTCATCCATACATCAAACACACAGTAAGTACACAACACAGCTCTGCAAAAATGTGTTTTTCAAATGACATATTACACATCAGGAGAGTTTACAGACTTTATAAAATGTATGCTGGTGTACAAATGTGAAGGGATGTCAGTCTTAAGGTTTAACCCTTTCAGCACTTACATTTAAGAGTGGATAAGTCAAATTTAAAAATATACCTCTCTTAAAAAATAAAACCACAAATCTTGTGAATGGAAAGCAGGCCTTCAGAGTTAGACAACAGTGGGCATAAACAAAGACCTACTAAAAACAATTTTCTTTTGTTTGACTCTAGTATTCCACTGATTTTTCTCTGTTTGAGTGACACTGAGAGAAAGAGTTCACTCTCACTGATTCTGGGCTTTTTAAGAGAAACCTCCAAACCTAACGGGGTCTCCTGAATGGTTTTGATGGATATACACATAAAGTAAGGAGGTAGAAACATACAATGTTAAAACTAAAAGGTATCTTGAATATTATTTCAGACAATCCTTTTCTTTTACAGATGAGAAAACTGAAGCCCAGAAAGGGGAAGTAAATGATCCGGAGCCACATGGTTCAATGGCAAAGATCTGATCAGCCAGGGCCTCCTTTTCACAAACCATGCTACTCTACCATCTACTCCAAGGTCTGAGAAGAAAATTGGTAACAATACTTGAGAAAGCAGAAGGAAAATATTCATTTCCTTTTTCGAACTTAGCTTGGTGACTTAAATCACCTCCTGAGATTTGCTGACCTTGAATTATAAGATCTACCCCCATATTAAATGACATCATTTCTTATATTAATATAATGCATTTTCCCAAACATTGATAAAAGCAAAATGGCTGATATCCCAACATGACATTCCTGAATTCATTGTTTCAATAAGAAGTGAAATTGTTTACACATGGCATGGAAATTTTACCTGTGATTCATACTGAAAAATATTAAACATCAAGAAAAAAAAACATACTGAAATAACACTAAGATATGCGTCTCTGACTGCATACACAGACAGCTGTCTGCCCCAGGCTCCACAATGGAAGATGGGTGTTGAACTCAGAGACCACAGTGAAAATTTCTCTCCAAGTTCGGATTTTAACCAAAGAAAGAAAAATATGGGAATTAAGCCTCCACCTGGGTCTTAACTCTCCATTTGCTGCATAGCACTATTATTTTTTAAATTACAGAATCTTTGGATTTTACAGCTTAAAGAGACCCTGGAGATCATCTTTCCAACCTTCCTCTTCTTATAAATGAAGAAACTAAGGCTCGGGAAGACAAAAGTGTCTTGTCCAAAGTCACAGGGACAATAAGTGACAGAGCCAAGGCTAGAACCTCTTAACAGTTCCAAATTCCACCATATCACCCTTTTAAATTTCCACATAGATAACTCAAAAATAAATGGATACATAACATATATATTATTATTAATAAAGTATAAGTACTGTTTAACAAGTCTAAACCACTACAAAGGATTTATAATGAAAGGAAAAAAAAAAATCAGCAGCTCTCTGCTCTACTATCTACTCCAAAGTCTGAGAATACCTTTGAGCTGTTTCTTCTTGACCTTCAATGTTTCTAAATACTATGCTTGTATTAAGATTTCTTATTCTCCCTTCCCCTCCAGTTACAGACATCATCTACTATACTCCCACCATGAAGGATGGGAATTTAGCCCTCTTACACCACTTTGCTCTCACACGCACATTTTATTCCCTTTTCCATACATTTTCTACTGGCCTTTCATTAAAGAATAGGAAAACCTGGCCGGGCACAGTGGCTCTTGACTCTACCCTCCCACCCGTAGTTCCCTCCCTCATCTTCTCAATACAGTCAATGTCACATTTTAAATCACATTAATATTTAGTGTTTACCTCATTCTATCTACAAAAATACTGTTCTCTGCTGAGCCATATGATGTACTGTTCCTTTATTTGACTTTTTTGTCTGTTTGACTGGAAGTGATAACTGCCATTTTTTCCACCAGTGGAGCTTTTTTATATATATGTCACTACATACTCCCCAAACTCTGACAAAAACCTTAAAACTTGCTGGGCACAGTGGCTCATGCCTGTAATCCCAGAGCTTTGGGAAGTCAAGGCAGGTGGAGTTTGAGACCAGTCTGGGCAACATGATGAAACACTATCTCTACCAAAAATACAAAAAATTAGCTGAGCATGGTGGTACATGCCTGTGGTCACAGCTACTCATGAGGCTGGGGTGGGAGGATCGCTTGAGCCTGGGAGGTTGAAGCCGCAGTGAGCTGAGATTGTGCCACTGCACTCCAGCCTGGGTAGTAAGAGTGAGACCCTGTCTTAAAATAAAATAAAATAAAAAACTTTAAAACTCTTCTCAATCTAACTAAACACATCATGTAATTGATCAAGTCCATTTTGGTCTTAGAAATATATTTCCTGAAGCTTCATCTCTCTGCTTCAACCTGAACTGGCTGCTAGCTAGGCCTGCTGCATTATCTTCTTACAAGTTTCTTTCTCCATCATGCTGGAAATTTTATTTACTTTTCTCCTGTGCTGAAGCTGTTGGTTCCCAAATTGTCTTCTTTCTTGATCTACTGCCTCATCTTGGTGGAGTATATCCTATAATATCTTTCTGGGAAAGGATAGCATGGAAGGTAACTTTATGACACCTTGAATATTTGAAAATATAATTATTCCACTCTTACACTTGAGTGATAGTTTGCCTAGGTATAGAATTCAAGGCTGGAAATAATTTTTCTTAGGTATTTCCAAAGTATTTCTTTACTGTCATTTAGCTTTGCATGTGGCAACTGAGAAACTTGATAACATTCTGGTTCCTGATCCTTTGAATGTAAGCTGATTCTTCTCTCTGGAAGCTTTCAGGATTTTCTTCTTTAACCTTAGTATTCTGAAATTGGATAGTGATAAGCCTTCATTTGGTCTTTCATTCATCATTTTCAGTCTGTTTTCATTCCCTGGGCTGGGCACTTAGTATGTCCTTTCAATATGAATACTCTTATTGCCTAATCCTGATCATTTTCTTCTATTATTATTATTTGTCTCCTCCTCCTTCTTCATTTTACCATTTTGCTCTCTGGATTTTTTTTTTCCATTTTATTTTAGACTTTTTTTTTTTTTTTTTTAATATTAGAGGCTTTCCTTTAATCTCTAGTAATCTTTGGCTGCTAGGTTTCTTTACAAGTGAGACTGTGAGACTCTAAAAAGCTGTGAAGGAAGTCTGTGCATTGGCAGTGCTTGATGACTGGCTGTGGGGGAAGGGTTCACTGTAGAACGAGTGGATGGAAATCCAGCCTTTCCACGGGGAACATGTCAGCCCCAGTATCTCTCATTGCTGCCTCTGTTTTTTTTTTCCAGAAAGAATCCTCCAATCTTCTGTCTTGAGGCATAATCTGGATCTAATTTGGGAAGTAAAGTTGGAAAAGGCAGTTGGGGAACTCTGTGTTAGGATGTCATACTTACACTTCATTGCCTTTTGGTAAGGCACCTTCCTTCTTGTTCCCAGTGTATCAAGCAATTTAGGTTCAGAGCTTTTTGGGTTCAATCTTTTTCAGCAAGTAAACCTTCGTTTTCCCCCTAGGGCATGTGGGAATGCAGTTATTGGCTACAGAGTGGGAAAAGTGAATTGGGAGTGTTACTTCTCTTTCTTTCTACAGACTGTCAACCTACCCTCCTATGTTTAGCTCTATATATTGCCCCTGAACTTCATGAGGTACTTGGTACCACTATGGTCTTTTGGAGTCTGTGGTTTGGATTACATGGCTTCTTAAAAGCTTCTGCCAAATAAGTTTATCATTCATTCATTTACCTGCAATTTTTAAAATTTTCTGGTCTTGTCTGTTCTTTTCATCCATGTGAATTTATAATTTTAAAATTATTTAACCTTATTAGTAGCATTTCAGAAGAGAAGTGACTTAAACACACATATTCAGGCAGGCGGATTGCTTGAGGCCAGGAGTTCAAGACCAGCCTGGCCAACATGGCAAAACCCCGTCTCTACTACAAATACAAAAATTGGCCAGGCATTGTGGCATGTGCCTGTAATCCCAGCAACTCGGGAGGCTGAGGCATGAGAATCACTTGAACCTGGGAGGTGGGGATTGCAGTGAGCCAAGATTGTGCCACTGCATTCCAGCCTGAGCAACAGAGACTCTGTCTCTAAAT